CCAGCCACTCCTCGGAAGGAAGGTTGGGCAATCCTACTTCCGTAGTGATACTGCCTCGGAAACCCAAGGAGGGGTCACTATGAGTCAGGTGTGACTCGACGGTACACAACAACAACAACAACAACCAAATACAAGGCAAGTTCTTTTCCTAAAGTTTTCGTTATAAAAGTAGACACTATCTTATATTCAAATCTTTACAAAATCTCTAATTTTATGGGATATTTCAATCACTTTGAACACCAAACTATGATTTATAGCAAACACCTTAGCCTAAAAATTACCTCAATTCTAGTTTGGGAATTCCCTAATGGAATTAGTCAAAGAGGAAGTACAGAAATTTAATAGAGATTTTAGTCATCACTGCAGAGATTATGAAGAGCTCTGGTGGTACAGTGCCTAAAGCATTTGACTGAAGGTTGGCGGTTCAAACCTACCTGCCAATCCACAGAAGGAAGATCAGGAAATCTATTTCCATAAAGATTTACCACCTCAGAAACCCAATGGTGGTTGCTATGAGTCAGAACTGACTCAATAGCAGTGGGTTTGGTTTGGGTTTTTGCAGAGACTATAGCCAGAAATTCCAAGGTTTAGACATCATTTAAGTCAGTATTTTAGAGGTGATTTCAAAATCAATATAGAAAAAGTGTTGTTTTGTTGTTGTGTGCCGTCGAGTCAGACCCAACTCATAGCGACCCCTCCCCTTGGGTTTCCGAGGCAGTATCACTACAGAAGTACATTGCCCCATCTTCCTTCCCAGGAGTGGCTGGTGGATTTGAACCGCCAGCCTTCTGGTTATCAGTCAAGAAAAAGTAGTAATGTTTAAAAAATCTTGACTATATTGCTAAAAGATAAATGGAAAATCCATCTGCGCTGATATTATACAATATTATTACATACCTTAAGTACTTGTGGTTTGATATAAGATTTCAGTGACAGCAACATAAATGTATCCTCAGTGACAACAACATAAATCTATCCCAAAAACAGTGTCTCAAACAAACCTGGACAAAAATTAAGCTAAAGTGTGCTGCTATATTCAAGTAAAACTGTCCTACAAGATATAATTTTAAGCATGTCTGTGTGATTGAATGTAACTGCCCTTAAAAGGTTAAATATTCCAAGGAACCAAAAAACATTTTGGATCTTCTCTTTAGGAAAGGAAGGTATCTTAAGTGAGAAAAGAGGTCGGGGAGGGGGGGCGGCCTGCAAAAAATGTCTACTTTGCTACAACAATGCGAGATATGAAGTGATTCAAGGAACTCCCTAGATACTGTTTATAGCTTTACCAGCTCCTTCAGGGCTAGTATAAGTAGAACTGTAAAGTATGATAAATTCTAAGACCATCCAATATATTCAATCAAAAATGCAAAACAGGTTATTGTTTTTATAAATATCAATACAAAGAGAGACAGTAAAAATTGGCTATTTTCTCATCCTGGAATAAAGGTCACACACCTTAGCCTAAAAATTACCTGTTTTTTAAAAATTTATGTGTTTTTTAAAAATAGCCCAAATACTATAAAACGATTGTACAGGTGTTCATTATAAATCCTTATCTCCCTCATGAGCAATTAAATGTCATGAGCTCAAGCAATTTGACGGTGTTATTCACCACTTTATTCCCAATGCCTAGAACAAAGGCAGGCACCTAGCCAGTACAGAGGCTATCAGTATTTGCTCAAAGAATCAACTTCAATGAACAAAGACAGAGAAAGGAATACACAGTTGTAGAGTCAGATTGCCTGGGCTGAATATATGGTTCCATCATCTATTAATTTGTAAACTTAGACAAATTATTTAACCTCCATCTGTCCTTTAGTTTCATCATTTGTAAAATAAAGACAATTACAATATCAACTTCACTGACTTTTTTGTACAGATTAAATAAAATAATGCATATAAAGTACAGTAAGCAAGTTTAAGCAACAACTATCCCTGAACCATCAGTCACCACCTCAAAAGAGCAAACATGTAATTAATCCATCAAGAACAAATGCAACAATAACCAAAGAACCAGAAAAAAAAAAAAAAACCAGCCAGGTTAAGTAGAAGAAGACATAGTGAGGGAGAAAGAAGGAATTCATGACCCTGCTTTTTACTTTTAAATTACATTAACTACATAAGCAGGAATACTATTTATCTAGATTATTTCTACTTCAGTCAAAATTTTAGATTAAATCCCCCTCCTCTACTTAATTTTGCACATGAAATACTAATTTAACTCCTCAAAAAATGTGTATTTACATACTTATTTTCACTTAACATTTATTCAAAAATATATACCAACTACCAACTCATTGCCGTCAAGTCGGATCCGACTCACAGCGACCCCTCCTTGGGTTTCCAAGGCAGTATCACTAAGGAAGTAGGCTGCCCAATCTTCCTTCTGAGGAGTGGCTGGTGGGTTTGAACTGCCAGCCTTCTAGTTAGCAGTCAACTGCCTTAGGCACTACTCTCGTCATTATCTAAGAAGGCTGTTGCTTTCAAATAAGTTATACTCAGAATTTATAGATGAAGCTTTTTAAAAAAAAATGTTATAAATCCTTAAGAAGTAGTTTGAATATGTCTAGAAAGAAGAAATGCTAGAGACTGAAAGTCATACTTAGTAAGCATTTATTTATTAATACATCATTAAACACTTAAAAAAATTGCTATCAAGTCAATTCCAATTCATAGTAAACCCTATAGGACAGGGTCAAACTGCCACCACAGGATTTCCAAGGCTGTAAATCTTTACAGTAACAGACTGCCACATCTTTCTCCCACAGAACGTCTGGGGATGAGAACTGCAACCTTTTGGTTAGCAGCCAAGCACTTAACCACTGTGCTGTCAGAGCTCCTTACTAAACACTAAACTGAAACCAAATTCACTGCCATCAAATCAATTTAGATTCACAGCAACCCCCACTGGGTTTCCAAGGCTGTAAATCTTTACAGAAGTAGATTGACCTATCTTCTTCCTGTGGAGTGGGTGGTGGGCTTGAACCACTGACCTTCTGGTTAGCAGCCTGATGACTTATCCACTATGCCACCAGAGCTCCTTACTAAACACTCCAACAAAAACTGTCTTGCCATCGAGTCAATTCTGACTCACAGCGAACTCTTCTTGGGTTTCCGAGGTGGTATCTCTATGTTAAGTAGATTGCCCATTCTTCCTTCTGAGGAGTGGCTGGTGGGTTTGAACAGCCAGCCTTCTGGTTAGCTGTCAAATGTCTTAGGTACTATGCCACCAGCGCACCCTAGTAAACACTAGGCATTGGGAATTCAAGATGACACTCTAGCTAATACATAAATAATTATAAAGCAGAAAAATAAACACATAATAGAAATAAACGTAAAGTGAGACTAACCAGATCCTGATTAGTTCTATTTGAGGAAAGTGGGTAAGGAAGCTTCTATACAGTGAAAATGGTGAAGTTAGGCCTGGATGAAATATTCTTCACATGTATAGCTTGTCTCTACTAATTAATTCTGTCTCATAACTTCATTAATACTATTCTTGATACAGGCCAAGAAAATGCTTGAATAACAAATAAAATAATCCCACTCACTAGAAAAGTATATCTTGCCCTTAAAAATTAGTAAAATGGCATTGTGGTGAATAAATCTATCTTTTTGTAACTAGTTTTAATCTCCATATGATCATTCACTTGACACTTTCACATTACTCTTACAACCTAAGATTATCTGCAGTTCATAACTCTCTCCTAAGTTTTTTCTCCCAGGCTCACCTAGCACCTATAAAGCCCTTTAAAGATCCCACCAGCACCTCAGAACCACAACTGAAAATGACACATGAAAAACACATGACCCTTCCCTAGTTTAAGAAAGGGTACCCCTAGCTCAATCCTCTAACACAGAAAACAGAGAGTCATTTTTTATTGCTCTTCTTCACTCCCACATTCAGTCCATCCATCTTGTCTGGTTCATTCTACCTTCTATGAACGTCTATACATCCCTACCACTATTGCTCTTTTTTTTTTTTACCTCTTTACCTCATCCCTGGCCTCCTAATGCTACCATCTTTGTAAAATGTCAATATTATTCTGTCAGTGCCTTATTTAAAACCATCAAGAACAAATGCAACAATAACCAAAGAACCAGAAAAAAAAAAAAAAAAAAAACCAGCCAGGTTAAGTAGAAGAAGACATAGTGAGGGAGAAAGAAGGAATTCATGACCCTGTCTATAACAGTTCAACTAATGCTCCCTCATTTACATACAAATCAACCCTTAGGTCCTTGGGTATGAGGTTAAAATGTCTGAAAAATTATTTAAATAACTTTATTTTAAATCAATTCATTTTCTTACCTCCTGCTCAGAAAGTCCATCAATAATTTCAGAAATCTCATGCTCACTCCTAGCAATGGTGGCTGAAAGACCAGCTCCCCTCTGCCCGACTCTAAACATGAGGGAGAAATTATAAATATATTTAATGGCCTTTTAAAAAGAAGACATATCAATAAATAACTATAGATTACTTTTGTGGATGGGACTTTTTTAACCAACTGAAATTCAAAGAAACCTAAAATTTTACTGAGTACCTACTTTAAGAAAGAGTGTGAGTCATCTATTAAGTTAACATTAATTTTAATGCTGAGATAAAGATTTAAAGGCTACATGCCTAAATTCAAATGGTAAATCTATTTATAGAAAACCACAATTATTGATTCCATTTCAGTTTCAAATCTTTCACCTGCCTTGTTTTGTCTGCTTTCCAGAGAATAGGAGAGCAGACTTGGAAAAATACATCAGATATTTTAAAAAGAAAAAAATATAACCATTATACCTCACAAAAACTGAATTGTGATTAAAGATGCTTACATAACTCTTACATGAAACAGTGATGGAAAAAACTAGAGCTTTTTTAACCTTTGTAAAACACCTGTTCCCTAAAAGTAAAAGCAAATCAGAAACTATCTATTCATACCAAAAAATTTCTTAATTAATGATTAATTTGATACTGTTTGTTATGTTGATAATAAAGGACTATGAGATATTCAGGTCTATTCTTATTTACTTTAATTTCCAAATGGATTGATATTTTCAAGAACTGAAGAACGACTTCAAAAATACTTAGATTTGGATTCAATATATTACTAGATATAAAAAAAAACTAACATTAAATTCACTAAGGTACAATCTTTAAGGTCTGATAATCAAGTTATACAATCAAAATAGCAGTTCTTTAAGTTTTCTTAATGATCTGATCCTCATGACAGTATTTAGCGAAAGAACAAAAGTATGATTTGAAGAAAAATACTATAGTCATATCAAACTACTTACCGTTGAAATCTCTCCTGCTGTTCTCTCTGTTTTCTTATTTCTGGAAACTGCTTTTCATAGTATTCCCTTGTTTTGCTTTCTTTAGCTTTCCTCCGAGGATTATTTTCTATTCTGTCCACTTTTTTCTCCCACGCCTCCATGAGCTGATCATAACGTTGACAGATTTTTTGTTCCTATTAAACATCCGCAGCAAATTAATAATAATTAAACTAAACTCTGTGGTTCTGACAAACCTAAAACTTTAAGACAAATGCTAGGTCTTAAGGCTAAGTCTGAAGTACATTTGGCTTACTGACTCAATTTTGAATGAAAAGATGTCCTTTGAGCTGAAAGAGAGAGAAAGGGAGCTCTGTTTCCTACATAACATCAACATACAGAACACATTTTGGCTATATTTTTGAGTTAATGTGGAGGCTACAAATTAATAAACTAACTGATGAGCTACTACTAGTAGCTGACCAGTTTAATTATTTTTCTGATAACAATGTATGTCTTCATTGTGAAAAACGAAACACTGAGAAATTAAAAATAAAAACAAAAATTGTCCATAATCCCAATCACTACCAATAACAATCCAATTTGTCAGAGAAAACACTCACACACGCTGTAACTGTTCCTCTACCACTGAAGCTTTTGGTGGCTTGGGGTTTTTTGCGATTATAAATATGCTACATAATAAATATTTTTGACAGGATGCAAAAGGCAAAATTTGGATGTACTTTATGATAAAAAGAAACCCATTGAACTACATGAAATCAAAAATTAAGCTTTTAGAGAAATGTGTGAAATACTATCCCATTTTTAAATGGAGAAAAATCCTTCATTATGGGCATAGAACTGGGTACATATCTGATGTCACAAAGAGAGAAAGCTGTGGAAGGACTCACAGCAAATTGATAACACAGCCTCAGGAAAATGGTATTGGAGAAGATGCTATTAGCTTTCTATGTACTTTTGTATTATTGAGCTAATTACAAAAAGCATTTATGATATAGTTTTTAAAGGAAAAATATATTAATGCTTTTAAAAGGTTCTTCCTTTCATGTTCCTCAATCCTTTCCACTGCTTCCAGATAGTCTCTATCTCTCCCCTCTCCCCATTTACTAATTATTCTTCTCAACTCTTACATCTCTTGCATAAAACCAAAAAAAACCAAACCTGTTGTATTCAAGTCGATTCCAACTCCTAAAATCCTATAGGACCTAGATTTCTGAGGCTATAATCTTTACAGAAGGAGCACTAGTGGTGCAGTCAGTAAGCACTTAGCCACCAATCAAAAAGTTAGCAGTTTGAACCCACCAGGTACTCTGTGGGCGAAAAATATAGCAGTCTGCTCCCAGAAAGATTATAGCCTTAGAAACCCACTTCTATTCTGTCCAACAGGTTCAATCTGAGTCAGAATCGACTAGATGGCAACAGGGTAATTTTTATGGAAGTACACTGCCAAATACATCGCCCACAGAGCACCTAGTGGATTCAAACCACTGACTTTTTGGTTGGCAGCCTAGTGCTTAACCACTATGCCACCAGGACTCCCTTGTTTTCTATATACTTCACCTTTTCTCCATTTCTACTACTATCTCCTTAGTCTAGGCATACATCATTCTGCACCTAAATTAAAGTAACAGCTCCCTCTATATATCCCATGCATTCTTAATGTTGTGGACAAATACAAATTCTTAAAATAAAAACCTGAGCAAACTGGGGAAAAAAACTTCTGCAGTCTAAAAATGTAAAAGGTGCCCTCAGGATTTAACCCAAAGTCTCCTAAGTGACCTGCAGGGCTGTGTACAACCTGGCCCTGGCTCCCATCGGCGGCCTCATTTCTAATCACACTTCCAGCCAGCTTTGAATCTGCCATGTTCCCTCTGACTTCCAAATCTTCATTTAAATTGCTCCCCTTGCTTATCCAAGTTTCCAGAGCACTGATTTTCCTATGAAACTTCCCTTCCTGTCCTGTTTGCATTAGGTATCACTCTTACATACTCTCACAGTCATCTGTATGCCCTTTACCACAGTATTATCATAATGCTGTCACTGCTTACTGACTTTTCTGCCCCCAGTTAAACCAAATGGCTATCTTGTTACCTCTGTACAAAGAGACATGGAACAGAATAAACAGCCAATAAATATTTAGTAAGCAAATCGGTAACATGTAATTTTATAATTAAATATTCCCTAAAGTATGAAAACAAAGTTTTAGTTTGCTCTCCTGTGTTTACACCACCAGATAGCAAACTCAGCAATTACCAAAATTACAACAAAGTTACTGAATAGAAAAATATACATAAGCTAATTTCTTGCATGGTATTTCTATATTCTTGGCAAAAAACTTGAAAACCAGTAATTTAGACAGTATCCAAAGACCAGACTGGCAAGTTACATTAGAAATTTTACACCACATACAACTTGCTTACTCTTGAGCTTTATGAGTAAAATGTCAGGTCATTCATTAAATGTAAAGTAGAAAGTTCATTTCTGAGGCACATTTACAGAACATAATTTATTTACTAAACATCTAAATTCAAATGTACCAACAGTTTGTCTGCAAAGTTATTATTATTCTCATAGTTCTTATACTATGAGAATAAGAACACTGGCATTATATGTGCCCTAACTTCACTTCATGAAGATTATAATCATAAAACTTTTGGACCATAAGTCGTATGATAAAACATGAAAAACTATTTGAATTTGAAAAAGCTGATCACTACCTGATCTAGTTTCTAAAAAGAAAGAAGAATAATGTCCTATCAGCATGACCAAAACTTACCCATATTTGTTTGAGGGTTAAGAGACTAAATAGACATTTATTTCTCTTTCATATATTTTTCTTAACTACTCACCATTTTCTTTATTTTGGCTAGATGAAAATGTTATATGTAGATGACCAATAAAATTAATTTGATAATGACATTAAATGTGAATTAGGAATCAAAATGATGCTGCAATTAGATTTACATTTAAGTCACATCTAAAACTACTTTTTAAACTAGCATTTTTTAAAAAAAATATAATCAAGAACCATTCTAATTAATAATGGGAAAGTGAACACCTAAGTGAACATGAATGGGACAGCTGTACAAATTTCAGTTAACAAGGATAGGACCTCACCCTTTGTTTTCTTGCATGATTTCTTCTTTTAAAAAATAAAATGAGTTTTTTCCTCATCACCTGGTTTCTAGAAGAGAAAAATATGGTTGCATGACATTAAGAAAAAGCACAATTTAATCATGCATTACTATTTTTTTTCCCAAGACACTAGGAAACAAGCAAAGATCACTTGAGAATGTATGATGTAATCAAGGTTAACCTTAAATTTTTACCCTGCAAAAATAAGACTGTTGTAATAATAGGAACTGGCTAACAATTCCTCCTGTTCTACAGCAAAAGGCTTTATACAAATAGTTCATTTTCAATTATCACATCCAATTACAAGATAAATATTATTTACAAATTCTAATTACACAGTTACTGATTCTTCCTAAGAACTTTGATGACATATGTATCTTTGTATGCTCTAAAGGATGAGAGGTAGAGGAAAAGGAAAAGCATTTAAAATTACCTCCCTGCCTCAGAAAAAGTGCCAATCTCCCCTTTTATGAGGAGAATGTATACCACCATATTTAAACAGAGGTGACTTCTGCTTTAAACAGAAGATTTTCTTCAGTCATAAAAATGACGTAAATGGCACTCTAAGAAATAATGGAGGGCAAAGTAACAAGACAGGAAGATTTCTCTTACAACTTGATAGTTTCACTTTTTAAATCTGAAATATTGCGATCCTCAAAAACAATGACATGCAGGTTCCAATATACATATTTATACCCCACCTACTTCCAGAAAGGATTTCAAGGTGATTATTCAAATATAAATACAAAGCCAAGCAAGTAGAAGTAAGTTTTTTGATTATCTGCCACTCTGGACTAACCAGTGACACTGGCTCCACTCAAATAAGCATGGACAAACAGAAGCTGGCTATATAAAAAAGTAGCCAAGAAATGAAAAGAATTATTAAAAGGTACATTTGCTATTACATACAAAGCAAATGATGGTGATGAACAAATAGTTACCGAATGATTCATATGGATGCATGCAGCTAACTGAGCGGTATTTCAAAAGGTGACATACAATGGGAGCATAACTACATATTCAATTTGCTCTAATTGTAATTATGTGCTACTTAAAGGAAATAACAATTAATAAACACAATTTTAAATGTTTCTGAAGAATTTAAATGAGGAAGTCAGCCACAATGTATTGAGCATTGTAGTAAGCAACAAAGGTAACATGAAGTAAATGAAACGCAGAATTTTTCTCCAGCTTATACTGAGGAAAATAGACAGAACACAAACATAAGTGAAGCTTTTTTAAAAGAAAAGAAAATCATTAAATGTAGCCAATAAGATTTTATCTGCTATTCTCCCTTTGAAAAATGTTAAATCAGCAAAACAGTTTCAAAATGAGGTAAATTTTATGAGTTTTGCCTAACTTACTTCTAAGGGTTGCCAAGACCATTATAATAGCATCTGACAGAAAAATTCATGAAGTATATGACTTTTATTACAAACCACTTACTTAACAAAAGTGAAAATTATTCAAATTTCAATGTCTTTCATGCATACTACCATGCAAATTTTATTTGCCACCAGTGCTGCAAAGTAGTCAACTATTGTACATATTCTCAATAAGAAATTTTAAAAGAGAAAAAAAAAAAATATATATATATATATATATATATATATATGAATAGTAATGTGCTCATTACTTAATAAATGTTTTGGTATACTTAATAAAACATATAAAGTAGAAATATCACATTTTTATCACAAACTAAGACTAAAATCACCAAAATTCTTTTAAAGTATGATAATAATAATAATAAAAAAACTATCTAGCCTCCACTCTTCAAATCAGATCAAGAAATTAGGTTTTCTTTTCACTTATTTTCTTATTCCAAAAGCTGCATCCATAAAGGCCTGGTACTAGGATGAGCAAGGCTAAACAAACTACATTCTGGAGCCGCCTCCTCACCCATGTGAGGTGACGGAGCACTTCCAAGGCACCAGGACATTAAATGGCAGAAGGGTCTACAAATACCGTCATTAGCAAGAGTCATAGAATGGATTTCCCTAGAATAGGATTTTGAATAATGATAAAATGATCCGTGGCACTTCTACTTTGCAATGGCAGATGTGGCTTGGTGGGGGACGGTGTCATCACTAGTCTTAAATGAAAAAGCTTCATTATCTTACTTCATCATGCGCCTTGCAGGTACTCCACTGAAAAAAAGACAAAACAGGAGGCAAAAAATTCAAGCCTCAAGGTAAGCCATTTCAATGTTAAGTATCCACCTTTTTACTAGCAGATTATAAAACCAGCTGGTTTTATGCAATAATTTATTTCATTTTGGCCTCGGAAACTCAAAGCTCCCAACCCCCAAGAAGCCAGAGGAAGATAACATACAGTTAAACGACAGCAAATTACACAATCTAAAAAAAACAGACTTACACTATATTATAATAATATGTCAGAGGATAACATAAAAATGATCTCTTTATAAAATATAAGGTCTTATACTAAAGAACTCCAAAGATGATAAATACTTACGTCTTGATGTTCTCATGGTACACCTTGGTATCTGATGGCTGGTTATAAAGTGGCTATAAAATAAATAAAATATTTAGGTATAAAGTGTTGTACATATATCTATAAAGTAACAAAGAAACAATTTCTATTTTAATGTAAGCTTAGTTAAAGTACTATTAGACTTGCACAACATGCCTTCCCCAAAACTTGAGACTTCTGGGTTCACTCTGCTCAACATATCTCCTAATTATGACACTCATATAAGAAAGTTTCTAAGTCCACTGTATGCCATATTAAATATGATATTTATAGATTTTTAATTTCAAAGGAAAAGCACTTTCATCATTCTAATAACTCTTCTACCTGCAGTGAATAACAACTTCCCAGGCAAAAATGTGCTCAGGTTAATGCTTCTGCAAAGCTCATCATGTTCATGTAGCATTATTTTAAATTTTATCACGAACGTGCTGTTCAAACAAACACTTCTTAACCCAAAATAAACAGGTCACATTCCATACTATCACAAGAAAAACTACTACAAAAAAAGCATTGGAAATGAAAAGAGAAATTTTTTACTTACCAGTTCAACTTTTGGGCCAAGACCTTCAAATATTTTATGAGCTTCTTCTGCTTTTTTCTAGAGATAAAGATATTGTTATATTGTATAATTAAAAAATACAATACATAAATGCAAAATCACCACCAATTTTAAAAACTTATCCTTATTTACAAGTATTTTTGATTTATATGAGAGGCTGAAATACTCTCTAATTTTATGTTCATACCATGCCTCACCAAATCAAACACTAACATTTATATTGAAGGTAATACTAAAATAATTGGTAAGTTTTTAAGAGCAAACAGATAGTAAGAACCTGGGGAGAAAAAGGTCTTGGGAGTGGAAGTACAGCTCCACAGTCAGAAATGAATTCCCTAAACATTGTAAGTACTTTAACACAAAATATCTTTAACTAAAACTAACCAAAAACAAAACCAAACTCACTGCCGAAGAGTCGGATCCGACTAAAACTAAACAACTTAAAATACCAGAAGCAGCCCATCTTCACTGTTTTGAGCCAAAGTTAATCTTTTTGAGGAAACACTTATAATGACCTTACTTTCTAGTTACAAGAAAACCTTACTAAAACGAAATCATAGAGGAAACAGTTGACATTACTCAAAGATGTTCAATACTAAGTAAAAGTTAAACTATTTTTTTTTCACCTTTTTTGTGTGTGTGTGTGTGTGTGATTTGGGTGAAAGTAATTTACAGAGCAAATTTACTTTCCATACAGCGGTTCACATATACTTTGTCTCATGACATTGACCACAGTTTACCACAATGCAACAGCTCCCCTAACACCTCCTCCCCGTAGTTACCTCTTCCCTGTGTCCATCCTTCTACACATTCCTGCCCTCTGAGCTGTCTCCCTGTGCATAAGCAGCCCTTCTTTCTCCTATGATTGTTCTCTCCAAGGAATGTATCTACTTGAGGTAAGTGTTCAACTCATATGCCTGTCTTTTGTTTGGCTGGAAAGCACAGGTGTGGGTTCAATTCCAGATCTGAAGGACAGCTAGGGGCCATAGTCTCAGTGGTTCCACCAGGCTCTATTGGACCAGCAAACCTAGTCCCCCTCGTTTTTGTTTCTTTTTTTCCCTCCAAATGATTTTGAATTTTGTTCCACATTGTTCTCTTTATCAAGGATCTCCTACATAGATCCTCTTCCAAGTGGATGACAGTGGTAGCCAGGCACCATCTAGTTATTCTCATAGTTGTACAGGCAGCAGATCGGATGGTGTAACAGTCGCTAGGAATAATTGTTTCCATGAATTTTGGTTTTCTTCATTCTTATTTGCTCTGGACGAGGGGAGACCCATTGTTGCATCTAGATGGCAGCTTGCTACCTTTTAAGATCCCAGTCGCTACTCACTGAAGTAGGAGGTGGAACAATGTTTTGTATAGTATGTTACGCAAATTGAGCTTGATGTCCCCTGAGACTATGGTCCCAAGCCTGCAGGCTCAACTACTCAGTCCCTCTGGGTAGCTGGCTGTGACCAAGACGTGACCACATCCTTGCCCCTTGTCAGCTCTACTATACATCTAGGAATTCTGATCATTCACATAAACTTATAGGACCATTGTCTGCCAACCATATATATGTTCTTGGATACACTTCCCATTTCATACACATACCTAATCGTTCAGCCTGTCCACCCATCTATCCACCCATATACCCATGTTAGCCTTCACTGACAATGCAGTACTGTATGTACAAAAGGGTTCATATTTGTTGTCTGTACATCCTGGGTACCTCTCTATGTCGTTCTCCTCCTCAATTCTGCTATATTGGTCACTCACATTTGGTACATTGCCCTTCTATTCACCCAACTCAATACTTACCACTATCTATCTAACAGTGTTCCCTCCCCTCCCCTCCTTTCCCACACCTGGTAACCAACAAAGAAAATTACTTTCTATTGATAAACCTATCCTTGACTTTCACAATAATAGACTAATACAATATTTGTCCTTTTGTGATTGACTTATTTCACTCAGCATAATGTCCTCCAAGTTCATCCACGTTATGTGGTGTATTGCCAATTCTACATTATTCTTTATTGTTGCATAGTATTCCATTGTGTGTATGTACCATAGTTTGGTTACCCATTCCTCAGCTGATGGACAGCTAGGTAATTTCCATCTTTTGGCTATTGTAAATAGTGCTGCGACGAACATGGGTGTGCATATGTCTGTTCTTTTCATGGCGCTCACTTCTTGAGGATATATACCTAGTAACAGAATGGCTGGGTCAAATGGTATTTCTAACTTCAACTTTTAAAGGAATCGCCATACTGCTTTCCACAATGGTTGTACCATTTTACAGTCCCACCAGCGGTGTATGAGAGTCCCAATCTCTCCACAACCTCGCCAGCATTTGTTATTTTCTGTCTTGTTGAACTTTGCTACTCGTGCCATAAACTACATGATTTTTTAATAGTAGTTTCCAAAAGTAAAATCATCTAGACCAAAGTGCTATTTATCAGAATTCTACCTTTCATGGAAAAGTAAAATACAGCAAAACACTATACTAAAGATTTGCTTAAACTGGAATTATGTAAATAGCAAATATGTGAGTAGTTCTCAAATCTCTCTTGCCTCCAACACATTCCCTTTAGTAACAATGGCTCATTCACTACCTGCTGCAGGGACTCCTACATCAATCATCTATGGCATGGGAATTCTCTCCAGGAGTTCTAAAGTGAAAGATTTTCCCTACCCTTGAATGGGAATGAATATTAACCAGTATTCCCCATGTGTACAAAAAGTTCACTTAAATAAACATTCTCCTTTCCATCCAAATTATCAATCTCAATAAATTAATTAAACAATTATTTAGCATCCGTTATGTGACAAGAACCAAATAAACTAGTGTAAGGCACAAAACACCATAATACCAAATACCATGAAACTGAAAACATTAAGAATTGTTCCGGTTCCATAGTACCACTCTGACAAGAATATACCACAAGGCAAAAAAGAAGAACAAGGTTCCAGTAAGATGGCAGAATAAGCAGAAAGACGGTACAGACCCTCTTCAACAATGAAAAGGGGAACCAATTAAAACAGATACAGAAGGTAATCCTCGACCCTTGAACTTTGAAGGGAAGGATATAGAAGTGGACTAAGTGCCGACTAGCAGAAGAATTTACATGAAAACACCAAAAAAAAAGGAGACATACAGAACTGCAGTCTGGCAGTGATCCTGACAGCACAGACAGCTTGGATATTGCCAAGTGGGGGGAGGACCTAAGAATGAATCCAAAAATCAGCCCCGCTAGCCAGGGAGTGTACAGAGGACTGTTCTGGTGGTTGGGGAATAAAAGGAGAAGCAGGAAAGAGGAAGGCAGTCTGACCTGTGGACTGCTGCCTGTCCAGAGGTTGCAGCCATTTTGAATGTTTACAAGTGGCTTGACTATTTGGGATATTTAAAGCAATAGCGTTCTCCCAGATTCAAAGGACTCAAGAACAGGCTCCACTTGCCAAGAACTGAAAGGACATTCCGAAAGTGTGACATTCCCCTTCTTACTCTTATTTTCCACACTCTCTTGGTGAATGGAGGTATAGCCATCCCTCACTCCCACCCACCATCTAGGCCGACTGGAATTCCATCCCAGTCTGTGGGTTCAGACAGAGCCTGGATGCCCTGCCTCGCCCTGACCTGATTTCTTCTTTTTCTTTTTTTTTTTAGTTTGTATTTGTCTGTTTTAAAACTACAATTATTATTAATACTTTTGCTCTTTTACTATTATTCTTTGCTCTTCCTTTCCTAGGTTCTAATTTTCAACATTTTTCTTTTTCCCTGCTCCTGTTTGCAATGTTTTTCCTTTCTCATAGTTAAGCCCCTTCCATGTCTTTTCTTTTTGCGTTTTTCCCATTTTTTTCTTCATTATTCTCCTTCTATACCTTTTTTCTCTTACTGTCCTCTCCCCAGATATTGTGGGGTTTTTTTTTTTGTTTGTTTCAGATCCCTCTTTGGGGGGGGTGTTAATATTCCTGTGTGAATACACAGTGATTTTTGGCCATTTGCTTTTACTTTTTTGATAGTTATTCAATTGTTATTTTTGTTTAACTGAGCAGGAGACAGCAAAAGCCCCCATATGACACAAATATACCCACACCTCCTAAAGCTTCACTTACTGAGTGAGAACCATCACCTCCTTCTCCACCAAGGGGCCAACGAAAAACAACCACCAAGAAGAGCCTGAATCACCCTTGGCTGCCCTTCACAAGAAGTTAACAGAGATCTAAATACAACAATGTCACAATTTCTCAGAGACAAAAGACCATCACAGTCCACACAAAGAAGCAAGATAGAATGGTAGAAACAAAGGAGCAAGATACAGACCCAGAACACATACCTGAGGAAGAAGCAGAATTGGAACTCCCTGGTAAGGAATTAAAAAGAATTATATTTAGGTATCTTCAAAGGATTGAGAGACAGATCAATGAAAACACTGACAAAATCCTAGAGGAATATCGGAAGAAAATATAAGAACAAAATGACAAAATAAATGAAAAATAAGAAATGATTCTAAATATACAAAGAGAAAACTAGAAGATTAATACTAAATTTTCAGAAACAGGTAATACACTGACAGGGCAAAGGATTGGAACTAATGCAATGGAAGACAGAATTAAGGAGATTGAAAACAAATACCTGAATACTTCTTTGAAAAGGGATCAATCAGAAAAAAAGATAAAAAAGAATGAAGCCTAAGGTTAACATGGGATAACATCAAAAAGAGTAACCTACATCTCGTTGGAATTCCAGAAAAGGAATAGAAAAATAAAATCACTGAGAAAAGTGTCCAAGATTTTCGGAGGAGAACTTCCCTGATACAATGAAAGATGAGAATATATCCATTCAGTAAGGCCAATGAACCCCAAAAAATAGAGACCCCAAAAGAAAATCACTGAGACATATCATCATAAAACTCACCAAAATCAAAGATGAACAAAGAATCCTGAAAGCAGCACAAGAAAAACAAAATGTTACTTACAAAGTACAACCATTAAGAATAGACTCTGATTTCTTGGCACAGACCATGCAAGTGAGAAGGATGGTATGTATAAAA